ACACAGGAGGGTTTGCAGGATTGTAAAGGTCATTAAACACCTAAGGTGGAGACAGATGCTTCCATCTGTCCTTGTTTAAGAACACCAACCCATCCGCTTTCCCCTTGATATTGTTTTACATTCAAGCCTGCCCGCTTCCATACACTGCATTTGAATATGTATTAAGGACATGCATTATCCCGAGTTTCAGTCTTCTGCTCTAAGGGTTTTATTTATTCTATGCTCATACATAATGCTACCTGGTTTTTTTCATGCCTTCTATTTGAGGCTCTCTAAGTGTCACACAAACATTCATTAACTTCTCTGTGCTACCCTCCAGAAAGTAAGCTGCCAGCATATGCCTTTCCCCCTCCTCCTCCTCATCACCCATTATTCATCATTTTCAGTGCCTTCTCTGTTTATCTTAGTCTGTTGAAACTCTTGTGATGCTTCTCCCGTGCACATGTGCGATGAAGGGCTGCCTGCTTTCTTCTTCCCTTGCTCTTACATGAAACAAACCTTTACAACCTACTGCCTGGTTGCTGTGCATTCGCTAACCAAAGACCCAAAAGCACAGAGCATCACCGCTCAGAGCTGTACAACCACCCCAGCGCTGCAGAGATCCCCGAGCTCTGCTCACCCACAGCTCCAGGCGCTTTGGTCTTCATCATACTTGTCTAGACAGACTAAATGCTTTCTGTGAGACAACCCCACTGCTAGCCAGGAAAGGGGCTGCATTTCCCATACAGATGAATGCCGGAGCAGGTACAGCTCTGGTTAGATACTCCCTTGAGCACAGGCATTATAAAAGTGGTTGATCATGCAGCATAAATGCACCGTAATGCTGTGCCCCTTCCCAGGAAATCAATGGTGCTGCCAGGTTAGGAGATGGTTATGGGCATCTTACAGCCAAGGCAAAAGAATGGGGTTCCAAGGCTGTGCTGCAGCCAAGGAGCCACAGAACCAGGGAGCAATGACAGACCCCAAACCGTGGCCGGCTGTGCCCAAAGCACCAAGCAGTGCTGCCTGGCCAAGGGTAATGGGATATGGTACTGGAAACGCTCATGGGACACCTGAGCCTCCCACGGCCCCGGTGATATGGAAAAGGAGCCAGTGCTGATGGTGATCCCCGGGACTGGAGGGTGTGCAGGGATGGACCAAATCCCCTTCATCACCGCGGGGCAGGACCCCCCGAGCTCAGCCCGCCGAGGGTTCACCGAGGACAGCCCCGGCTCCGAGGGCAGGATCCGGTGCGGGATGGAAGATGCCATGAGCGCTGCCCCCCGCATCCCGGCCGAAGGAGATGCCCTAAGCATGACCCGTTGTCACCGCGGGAGGTGCCCCGGCCACGGCCACCAGCACCGGGGAGCGATGCCCCGAGCCCGCTCTCCCCGGCCGGAGCGGCTCCCGCCGCATCCCGGGCTTGACCGGACCCCGCATCCCGCCGGGCAGGGTCGTACCCCTCGTTTTACTCCCCCCCCCCAATAACAGCGACCCCGTTCCCCTCCCGCCCTTTCCCGAGCTGCCCGGGGCCGGCAGGACTCACCGCCCGCCGTGCCGGGGCTGCGGAGGCCGGGGAGGTGCGGCAGGGCCGGGGCAGCGGGCGCGGGGCTGGCGAGGCGAAGCGGAGCCCGGCGGCGGCGGCAGGAGGAGCGGCAGCAACAGCAGCAGCAGCAGCAGGAGGAGGAGGAGGAGGAGGAGGAAGAACCAGGGGGAGCAAAGGGGGGCTCGGCCCCTGCGCCCGGAGCCCGCGGGATTCGCCGAGCTGCTGCCGAGAGCCGCCTCCTGCCGCTGCGCGGGGCAACCGCTGGGGGCGCCCTCGGGGCGGGGCCGCCCGGGAGGTGGGGCCGGGTTTGGAGAACAGGGGGAGGGAGCCCCCCCCCCCCTCCGGAGGGGCTTCTCGCAGGCAGGGGCCGTGGGTACGGGGGTTGGGGGTGCTGGGATATGGGATGCTGAGGTGCTGGGGTAGTGAGGGTGAGGGTACTGGGCTGCTGGGGCTAGAGGTGCTGGAGTTGGGGGTACTGGTGTTGAGGGATACTGGGATGCTGGGGATGGGGTTATTGGGGTGCTGAAATGCTGGGACACGGGTTGGGTGTGCTGGGGTACTGGGGTTGGGGTTATTGGGGTGCTGTAGTGCTGGGACACTGGGGTTGGGGGTACTGGGTTTGAGGGTACTGGAGTTGGGGGTATTGGGGTGCTGTAGTGCTGGGACACTGGGGTTGGGCATACTGGGGTTGAGAGTACTGGGTTTAAGGGTAATGGGGTTGAGGGTATTGGGGTGCTGGGGTTGGGAGTGCTGACTTTCTGGGGTGCTGGGATTGGGAGTGCTGGCATCCTGGTGTACTGCGGTTGGGAATGCTGGAGTATTGGGGTACTGAGGTGCTGGGGTACTGGGGTGTTGGGGTGCTTGGCAGGGTCTCCCAGGCTCCAGCCTGGGAGAGAGGAGCAAAAGGGAACCAGACCTCATCTGAGGAAGCGTGTTCCCGAAGGAGCCTGGGGCTGGGTGACAGACAGCACTGCAGGGGCTGAGTGCCCTTTAATCTCTGCTCTCAGTAAGAGATGAATGACAGAGCAAGAGGGTGTCTGGAGATGATGCTTTACTCAGTACGTCTCTCCCACATGACCTGGATGCATTTCTGCATCTCGCCGTGTCCTTTAATTTGGGACTATTATCTCTGGGAAAGGTTAATTATGTTAGAGGAGTGGATCTCCATTCCCATGTCTTCATGGCTTTATTTATTCTGGCTTTCATGTTTTGATCCCTTCAGTGCTTTGATCCCTCATTCCTGCCGTCCTGAGATGGAAGGAAAAGGGAATACCCAGGCTGGGACCTGAGTGTTTCCCTGAGTGACATAAACTCAAACTAGGGAGGGGGAAATAGATCTTACAGCCTCTGGATCTGTAGTGGTCCTGGCAACCCAGCACAGAAATGTCCTACCAGGACCCATAGAAGTGGCCATAGAGGTGGACAGTGACCGTGTGCTGTGCTGCAGGGTTAACAGGCACCAGATCAGACCGTGGCTGCGTGCTGCAGGCTGCCATCCCTGGGACCTGCATTGCTTCCACGGCACCGACCGCAGCTCCAGTGAGAAATTGCCCTAATTTGCTGCTATCATAATGAGGCCAAGAGGAGAGGCAGCAGCTCCTCTTTGCAGTGGCTGCTCCCAAAGCCGCTCTGTGGGAAACCTGCCTGAGATTTAGCATGTGTAGTCCTGAGGCCTTGCAATAGCATCATCTTCCACGCCGCCTGCTACCCCGAGCACAGGAGTTGCCCTCTGTGCTGCTTTAATGAGTTGCTGCTTGTAATTAGAGTTTATTTGTATTAATTAGCTTAAATTATCTATTTGTGAGCTGCTCGCAGTGCACTGTCAACATGTTCAGAGGCATACACGCCTCAAAGAGTCAGCTCCTGCCCTGAGGAAGCCCTGAGCTAAAACCGGACAAACTGTCCCAATACAGCATGCCCTTTTTTATCCCCTAAGAAACCTGTTGCATTTAAACTTGATAAATACTTGGCTTTGCTGCCCCACCACTGAGGGACAAGTAACCAGGTAAAAATTAACCCTATTTAGTAACAGGGTGTTGTTATTAAATAACAATGATGATGCATTTACCCTGGGCAGAAGCAGGAGATGGGTACCACTTGCATAGGAGAGCTTGCAGTGGGGGAGATGGAGAGCAGGGCCAGAGCAAGAGATAAGGGAACAGCCACACAGCCCTTTAGGAAACAAGTGGCTTTGTTAAGAGAAGATCAGTACAACAGGGAGGGGGAAAGGGAGGAGGAGGTGGCCCAAATCAGATGAGGAGAAGCTAGAGAGGGCAGACGTGCAGTGCATCGGAGGGAGCGTGGTTTAAGGCTGCGCTCAGCGTTAGCTCAGCTGTGATTAAAGCTGGTCGCAGCAGAGACGTGATGCTCACCACAAGTGGCCTTTATCTGCAGCAAGCAGCAGCAATCATTATTCTGCTTCCAAGCTCCATCGGTGCTGCCAAGCTGTGTTTCCCAAGGAGGCCACGATCCGTTGCCTCTGCGTAGAGGGATGTAAAACACAGAGGCACTTCCCTCGAGTAGGTGAGTGCAGGAATCTTCATGGAGCAGCGTGTCCTCAGGGGGCATGACCAGCAGGTCAAAGGAGTGATCCTGCCCCTCTACGCTGCTCTCACCTGAGACCTCACCTGGAGCATTGTGTGCAGTTCTGGTGTCCTCAACATCAAAAGGACATGGAACTGTTGGAACAAGTCCAGAGGAGGTCACAAGGATGATCAGGGGCTGGAGCACCTCCTGTATGGAGACAGGCTGAGAAAGTTGGGGCTCTTCAGCCTGGAGAAGAGAAGGCTGCGTGGAGACCTCAGAGCAGCCTTCCAGTATCTGAAGGGGGCCTATAGGGATGCTGGGGAGGGACTTCATTAGGGACTGTAGTGATAGGACAAGGGGTAATGGGTTAAAACTTAAACAGGGGAAGTTCAGACTGGATATAAGGAGGAAATTCTTTCCTGTAAGGGCAGTGAGGCACTGGAATGGGTTCCCAGGAAAGTTGTGAATGCTCCATCCCTGACGGTGCTCAAGGCCAGGTTGGACAGAGCCTTGGGTGCCATGGTTTAGTGTGAGGTGTCCCTGCCCATGGCAGGGGGGTTGGAACTGGATGAGCTTAAGGTCCTTTCCAACCCTAACTATTCTGTGATTCTATAATGGAAAAATCCCCAAACTGATGCCCAAGACTGGACCTTAAGCGACTGTAGTTGCTTGTAGAGATGCATAAATAGCTCCACAAAGAGAAAAGGCAGGTATCCAAGAGCTGTTTAAGCCAGAGAGAAGAGATGTGGCTCAAACCCACAGCTGCAGGCTGAAGCCAGACCAATTGTGATGAGAAAATAGGCGTTAATTTTGTCAGAATGCAGTTGATTAGCTGCTGGAACAAATGACTGGGGAAAGGGAAAGTCTTTCCATATGGTAGTGTTTACTAATCAAGATAAGATGCTCTTCTATAAGATGGGCTTCAGCCAAGCACCAGTTCCTGGGTTCAATGGTGTGAAATGGTAGTGGCTCTGAGAAGATAAAGAAGTGACTTTGTGGTTCCACCTGGCCCTCAGGTAATGAACTTCTAAACCACTCCTAAACAGCTGTGATGGTGCTCATGGGGTTGTCCGCTTCTAAACAGCAGCTGGGGAAGGATGGCCAGAGGATTGGCCAGACCCAGCCTATCTGGTTGGTTTTCTGCCCTGTCCTGCCAGCCCCAGGGGGGTACTGGTGTGTGTGGGACTGGTGGTGCAGACCTGGGTTGGGTCTCTCTGCATTTGTCACTCCTGGTTGACATGAGGATGTTGGAAGCCTGGCTGGAGGTAGGTGATCCCCAGCCAGCATCAGTCAGTTATCCCCAGCTGAGATGGTGGTCAGGGCCTTTTTGGTGTGACTGGGGCAAACCATTTCCCTTCTGACTCCCAGTGTCTTCCCCAACCTTGCTTGCCCTTCTGGTTTGACCCAGGGTTTCTGCAGGGGCTCTCTCCCACTGGGATTACACTTGGAATGTTTGTGCAGTGACTTTATAGGAAGCAAATTGCTCACTGATGGTGTGAAATGTTACCCTGTTGTTGTGACTATTCCAGAGTCAGAGTGGCGTTTCTGCATCCTTCTCATCTTGAGGCTGTTTTGAAGGGGCCAGGGTGCCTCTTAGTTTCAGTTGGTGCTGCCGTCACAAAGTGTAAATGCTCATGAGCAAACTTTCCTGAAGTCTGGATGTTAGTGGCAGGCTAGGGAAAGCAATGTGGGGTCAGCTCTTCCTCTCTGCTGGTCAGCCACAAAGCACTGACTCACATATGGTCAGCACTGTAAGGCTACTGGCAGCTACTTGGTCCTAATGGAGTGGCAGCAAGGAGGTGCCTCACCTTTGGATTGTGCTGTGCGCAAGGAGGAGAATTAGGGAAGGCACAAAGTAAGAATCCAGTCTCATGTTGCTGCTTCAATGAAAATGGGGTGGCTGCAAAACTTGCTGGGAGGAATAGCACAAAAGCCAGAGGGTGAGATGTTAATGGTGATGGGAAGGAAGAGGAGAAACAGGACTGACTGGTTTGCAGTGACTGAGAGTTACCACCCTAGGAGTTACTGGGAGGCTGTAGCAAGGACCTGTCTCACTCCCTTTGCAAGCTGAAGAGCTGGTGGTGCGTTTCTCTTGGGCATCTAAAGCAGGAGATGAGGGATTATTAAAGAAGGATTTCACCTTGAACAGGAGACTATGTCCAACAAGACTACAGGAGCTTTGTGCTTTCTTGCTGAAATCAGTTGGTTTGGCCCCTCTGTGCATCAGAGAGTGCGAAAGGGAGATGAAATGTTCCTTGTCTCTTCCATTTGATACACTAAAAATGCAGTGTATTGTGCTGGTGCTGCGGAAAGACCCCTCCTGTGCCCAGCTGCTGCCCTGGGCACTACCCAAGCTATCTCTGTCTGTGTGCCAGGACATGCCCTGGGATGCTGCCTTGCACCCTATCCATCGCCCTTCCCTATGGATAAGCCTCGTGAAGGCATGGGTGAATAGAAACGTGTGTGTGGTGTTCCGGTTTTCCTGTGAATCCCTTGATAAATCCAAGTGATGCAGCTCAGATGGGCAGCAGTGAAGGACAGAGTCCTTCCTCCAGTAGAAGGTGGTAGAAGAGAGCAGCAGGCACCTTCTGGCAGGTAATGGAGTGGGGGCATTGGTGTCCCTAAGGCAATGCTCATGCTCTGTCTGGAAATGAGCTGGACCAGCCAAACTGTCCCTCTCTGCTGTGTCCTGGCACGGTCCAGGCTCTATTGGCAGCCTTGGGGAGAAACACTAACGAAAGCAAGTGTTTGGCTGGAGATACTGTAGTGCCACAGACTTGGAGAAACAAGGAGAAAAGAGCCCAGCCCTTCTTTGATTAGTGAGAGCAATCTGGTGCTGCAAGCTGATGCTGGAGGAAAGGATGGGAGAGAAGAAAAAGAGAACAGCAGTGGAAAGGAGATGAAAACACTGGGCAGACCTGCAGCAGAATGAAGTGAAAGGGAGACATTTATTTGCAGATAAGATGCTACATTGTGCTTACATGTGCAGCCTGGACAGCTTCTGATGTTTATACAGAGTTGACTCTTGAGAAGAGGTTGTCAGCCCACAGATCTAGGCAGTATGTGGTCCAAAGCTGTCCTGTGCCAATCTAAGGAAGACTTATTCCATCCCAAGTTGTACCTATATGGAGGGCCTTCTTCCCTCTTCACCAGTGGTTTCATGCTTAAAATCTCTCTGTAGGAAGTTCGGTGTCGATGCTCCATGATTCATTCCCATGAGGAATGAATTTCAGGTCCCCATAGGGTCTCAGGGGCAGAAGAGGGAGCAGATATGTATTTTTGCAGCAAGGAGGATGAGACTCCAGTGTACAAATTTGGCCTGGTGTTTGGGGAATATACAGTGATTCTCCCTTTTATTGTCACAATCGCTTCCTCTTGGCTCCTGATTTGGCTTTAGGAACAACAAGGAAGGGCTGAGCAATCCATCCCAGGATTTAAACCCAGCCTACTATGTGGTCTGTGTGTTCCCTGGGATTCAGCAGAGTCCACTTACTGAGGCCAACAGAAATAGCATCTCTCTGCCTGGTTTCAGAGGAGGTGCTAAGTGGGACATAGTTAAATTTGGGATTATTAGGAAGGGAAAAAGGGTAACTGCTCCTTTTGAAGTGCTTTGCCTGGATAACAGATCTTTGGGCAGAGAACTGCAAAGAGCTGCCCTTTGTAGAGAGCTAGAGGATGAGGTGTTTGCAGTAAGGGAACTGTTTGCTGCAATGAATTATTGGGCAGAAGCAGGTATTTGGGAGCATTTCAAGCTTCTATCCATGCAGCTCCGGCTGGCACCCAGCCCTGCAGTGTTTCAGCCCAAGGGGCACCTTGCTGAAGTACTGCAGGGCTGTTCAGCAACCAGCAAAGGGCAGGGTTATGTCCTGCAGGGACATCCTGGTGTGCAGGGATTTGAGGGCCTCTGTGTGATAGTGCAGGTGGAGGGGTTCTTCCTGGTGGCATCCCTGTTTTAAGGTTTATCGTTGCTCCCTCAGAGACATCGAGTTTCACACAAGCTGGAGATACACCTCCATAGACAAATGTAGTCCATACAGAAGAATGGAAGTCTGAATGAGAGGCAAAGCCCCACAAAGAGCTGTCTGTAATTAAAAAGCTGCAGCGAGATGAAATAGGAGATGAAGAAGAGAGATAGTTGGAAGTGCTGAGGAGCAGAAGCGCTTTCAAGTGTGTTACTGCAGGGATAACTGGAGGTTTCACCAGTGGCTTGATACTCTCCTTGTGCTGTCCTTCACCAGGCAACATACACTGTGCAGCCTGGTGGACACCATCACTGACCCCAAAACCTCCAAATGCTGACAGAGGTGTGAGCACTAAACTCAGTTGAGCCATAAGGGCTGTAAGTCAGAGCTAACATCTGTGTCTTGGCCTGACGCATGCTGTGATCTTGCTTTATTGTTGCTTGTGGGTAGACTACAGCCCACTTTGCTCTGGGGTAGGTGATGAGCCACTTGTGCCCAGTGATGCTATGAAGGTGGCGAAGGGCCAAGTGCTGTCATTGGAAAACCAGCTGTGAATTAATGCACGGTGTGTGATTTATGTGCTTTTTAAATGCATTCATGTCCTGTCGCACTGGCTGCGGCTCTTGTCACATTTGGTGTTCTCAGAACACTTATTAGCCTCACAGATCCCTTGATTATTGCTTTCTCTTTTATAATTAAGCCATGAAACTCAGCATGGTGCAGCTTATGTGGTATTAATTCACGGCTGGCGTGTTCTGCCTGTGCCCTAGGATAAGGCTAAATGCTGGCAGCTGGATTGCTCTCCGCACAGTTGCTATTCTGAAATGTTTTAATGTGATTATAACAATCACATCCTGTGTGCATATGGGCAACTCAGGGCCACAAGCAGTGGTGAGATGTGGTCTGATCTAGGAGTAGGATATGCCCCTGGCAGTGCTGTGAGATGGGGCTTCCTCCTGCCCCAGGCGGTGGGTGATGCTCTCCAGGTCAGTGCTATTAACTCTGCTTTGGTGCTAATGGAGCCCTGCATGCTCTCCACTCCCTGCTCATCCTTCCTGGGACATGCCTGTGAACATGTGAGACTTGGGAGTGCTGTTTCACTCCTTTTTGCTCTGGCTTTTCTTCCTGTGAGGTTTAAGCTGAACCCAGGATTTCATGGGAGGCTGCAGCTCCATGTCCACTTTGTGTCCACAGCAGCAGAAATAAATGGCTGCTGGGACAGTGAAAACAGCCGCCCAGCTGGTTGCTCCTGCTCCCAGTTTAACAGCGTGTGTGGCCATGGGGGCAGCTGACCAGGGAACAAAACTACCAGAAACCACGTCTGTTCTACTTGGTTCTCTGTTTTCTCTCTCCTGGGAATTAGCTGTAGGAGTGACTGTGCTGCTACTGGGAAGGAAGTCACTGGAGTGACATTAACAGCAGTGCCCCAACCAGTGGTAACCCAGAGGTGTCAGTGTGAATGCAGACTTCATCAGGTCTCTGCTGGGTTGGGTGTTGGACCAGACCTTGCTGGCTGAATCCAAGCAGCTCCACAGCTCTGAGGCTTGAGGCAGAGCAGGCTCCAGCAGCTCTGTCCTTATGGCTCTGGTCTCTACATGTGCTGAAAGTCCTACCAGACTTCAGATGTGGGGACTAAGTGCTGTGGTGACAGCTATTGAAGAGCACATGTATGAGTGTTCTTCATCTGCTTTGGATCATGCCCTCATCTACGCATTCTTGGGTGCCATGGTTTAGTGTGAGGTGTCCCTGCCCATGACAGGGGGGCTGGAACTGGATGATCTTAAGGTCCTTTCCAACCCAAACCTATGATTCTGTGATACACAGGATGTGGGATATCTCCATGTACAGCTGAATGGCTGTGAACTTCATGGACCACAGATACCATAATGCAATGGCGGTTCTGCTCTGCTGAATGCATGTTAGTTATACACATATGAGTGCTGCTCAAGTTATTGATTAATACTAATCAACCCATTTCTATAGAGACCTGAATGCTTCTGTTTCAAAACACAGTGCCAAAACCTATGTGCAGGATGTAAAGCCGTAGTGCAGAAACTCTTTGAGCTCAGATGTTTCCATGGAGATGGGCCTTTGATCTCGGTGTAATAAATAAAGGGTGGAGAAGATGCTCCCAAACTGGAGAGGCAGGCAAGGCTGATCCCTACGGGGCAGAAGTTCTCAATGGGATTTAGGGTGACAGGAGGTGTCTCTTTTCCCCCTTCATGACGCTATGGCTGTAGTAGCAGGGAGGTTGAGCTGTCTGCCCGCCAGCACTGCAGCGTATGCAGAGGATGCGCCTTTCATCCTGCCAGCCAGACAGTGCGCTACACCTTTGAGCTGGCTAATTTAGCACTGCTGAAAAGCCAGACCTTTGTCTGCACAGCAGTATTCACCCTGTGCTGCAGGGCTTAGAGAGCAGCAACACAGGGGTTTAATACCAGTGTGAGACACACTCGTTTTATTGACTGTGGTGAAGCAATGTGAGGAGTAAGAACAGCAAGGAAAAGTGCTGCATTTGTGGATAAAATATAAGGGGGGAGGGGGAAAATAACATTTTTGCTCTGGCACAATGCGCAAAGTAGAAGTGTTTAATATGCTGATGTGGAGATAGTGACCAAAGGCACCAGTCAAGTTGGTTTTATCCACGTGGATGAGCTTTAACTGCATTGGTGGTGTTAGGGCTGTCAGCAGGATCACAGGGCTGTTACTCCTGGCACTGGAAACTGAGGCTTCAGTGGTTGGGGCCGAAAGGGAATTCATTAGGAAAGAGCGTAATTGGTTTCAGTAGGCGCTGGGAACTGCTCCTTGGGGTAAGTGTGGTCACACACACTGCAGTGGGACGTTTCATAACACGATGCGCTGCATCGGCAGCTGAAGATGATCCCCTGTGTTCGAGTGCCTGGGTCCACCTGCCTGGGTCCACCTCTTGCTGTGGCACAGTGGCTGGTGTGTGCGCTGCCGAGCTGTGTGTGCATTTGTGGCTCCACTGGGCAGCCGGGTGGTGGCTTTTCCTGGTCACTTCTGATGTGTTCACAGGATGTTGACAGATCCATCCCTTTGTTTCCGCTACTAGCGTGGCCTCAAACAGGTTTTTCTGCAGTGTATAAGAGTACATGAGGTGAGCGAGTTACTGTGTACAGCCTGTTGCAGTGCTTTTTCCTTCCTTGCATTACATTTTCTTACCCAGATGCATTGTGCTATGGGTCTCAGGGTCTCTCTGCTTTAGGGGTTTGCAATACTTCACCCAGCAAATGGTGCTGAAGTATTTATTATGGCTTCCTTGCACCCAGTCCCACCACTGCTTTCCCTGGAGCAAGTTGACCGCTCAGTGTCCTGCTGGATCCCATCTTAACCATCACTTTATGGCATTTTAAAGGTCTGATTTAAATACTCTGTTTATAAGGATATATGTTGTTTGCAGCTCTGAAAATGTCACCATCTTTCCCGAACATTGCAGAAACCTTCAGTGTTGAACACAGCCCACGGGTTCACTTCAGAAGCTGATGGAGGGGGGGTGTTGCTGATATTATTGTTGTTTTAATTGACCCTCACTGGAAATACTGTCATGTAGCTCCCTGTTTTTAAGAAAAGGACCATTTAGCTGAGAAAACCATGTTGGTGTCTTAGGCATTAACTCACTGGGAAGAAATTCAGTTGCAAGAGCATGCAATATTAAAGGTACGTTGAATCAAACTCATTTCCAGTGATTTCAGAGCCTTGTTTTCACAGGGCTCTTTGTCAGAACCTAAAGCATAAAATACACTGACAGGTCACAGTTGATGTTACTAGACTGTAATGAAAACAGCATTTTTAACCTCTATTACAGAGACAGGGCGGGATTGCTGTGCAGTCGCAGCCGTTTGTCTTGCGGCTGTGACAAGCCTGCATGGATGCTGTCACTTAGCAACCACTGCCATTTGTGTTCCAACTGCAGCTTTTCTGTTGTTGGCACGTAATGAGTTGTAATCACAAGATCAGTCTGAGAGTTGTAATCACAAGATCAGTCCCACCAGGGGTGTTTGTCTTGGAGAGCGATGGGCTCCAGGGCTCACCTGTGCGCCTGCTCAGCCTACATAAGGGCTAAATCAGGATTTCATGAGTGATGGCTAATGCAGCTCAATAAGGGTTTGTTTTGGAGCTGGCTTGGCTGGGCCAAGTCATGTCCCAAGCCTGAATTCACCACCTGCCAGACCTTGCTCTGCAGCTCCTTCATGCTGGTCACAGCCCAGCCCAGAAGCTGCTTTGAGGTCAAAGCTCTAAGCGTGGTGGTGGTGATGAACCAGGCAAGGCAGGCATCGATGTCCATGTGCACAGGGGATCAGTGGAAACTGGAAATATGAGGACCAAGAAATAACAAAATGGGAGAACTGAAAGTGTTGTCTATCCTTTAAGGGTAGTTCTCACCTATCTTGCACTGAAAAGGAGTCCTGCCACAGTTCAAGCCCTGATGCTCTGCAGGAGCTGTTTAAGGTTGTGGGTTTACTTTACTTTTGATCTGCTGTAATCAGGCAATGTCCCTCAAAGGAGTGGGTGCACTCTGTCCCAGAACAGCACATTCCTGCCCTTGCGCAGAGTTTAACAACTGGGCAACTGCAGAATGAGCTGGGGAGTAATTTGGTGTGGATGGGTTTGTTTTGGAGGCAGCCATGTGAAAGACATCTTCATAGCTCTGTTATATGTTTATGGTAAATAAACACAATTAAGCTCCTGTGCTCTAAGCAGAGACTTGGTATTGCCATTACAGATGGAAATACTGTTTTCTTCGGTTTCATTTCGCTGTAACTGAAACAGTTGTGCAATTGCAGGGGCTCTTGATGCAGACTGCTCATTCGCCCTTCCAGCTGGGGCTGAGTTCCAAGTGTACCCATGATGTGCATTTGCAGAGCCCTGGATGCTTTCATCAAAGCTGGTGCCGTGTAGCTCTATCCCAGACAGACACACAGCTTCTTTGAATGAAAGCTCTTCCTTTTCTCTGTGTGCTGGCTTGCAAGGTTATAGGCAAGATGTGTCCCGCCTGTGGAGGAGAGAGTCTGACGCAGGCTGAGGTCTGGCAGTGTTCAAGGGGTGCTTTATTTCTCAGCAGTGGACAAAAACCACTGCCCAGGAGGGAAATGACACAGAGCACACAGGTGCTGCTACTGATAAACTTTTTCCATTGTGAATTGTTGATAACTTCTGCAGTGAAGCTGGTTGATGAGTTTCCTGTTTAACACATGGTGGGGTTTAGAAGCCTTGATGAATGTGCATTGAAAGGGAGAGCAAATTTTGTTAGAGGCAGACAAAAGAAATGGCTAAGATGCGCATGAGTTCATCACAGATCACATACATCGAAGCTAAAGCAACAGCCCTAGACATTTATGGCCCATTTTTGACTGAGTTGTGCAATTAGTATAATTAGGCAAAGAGTATTCTTTGGGTTTTAAAAGTCCAGTGTATTAAACCAGAAAATCAACAACAGTTGTTTTGGCAGCTTATATAAAGCTGTTGCTTGTGTAGAACTGAGCCAAAGATGCTTAATTTCTCCTGGGTCTGTTTAAGTCTGAGCTCAATCCTTTCTTCAGAGCTTTGTTGAAATGTGTTGAAAGCAACTCCAGGAATTTCATACCTGTGTACAGATCAGACACCAGAACTTGCATTGCCCTTGTGCAGATAAAAAAGCTAAAAGGAGCTTTCTAATTTTCTTCCATAGAACCAGCCATTGGAGACATCAGTTCTTCTAATCTGTGATGTTCTGCATTGATACCACTTGTATTGCTGCTGCCTGCTAACCACAGCCCACATTAAAGCAAATGACAGTCCTGCACCTTGCATTAAACAAGGCTCGTGTCTGGCCATAGTCTTTGCTGAGATCAGGTGGTGGGTGTGTTGAGAAGTCTCTCTTGGTGGTGCCTGCCTCCTGCAGGAGCTGTGTACAGCTATACAGTTGATGGTGTGCCATTCATCCCAAAAAGGCAGCTTTGAGCTTTCTCCTGTGCCCAGAACAGCAGGCCAGGTACCTCCTCCTTCATGTCATTGGAGTCCTCAGTGTGTGACAGAAGCAAGCTGGATGTGGAGGGTTTGTGGAAGGACTGCTATCATCACATCGTGAAGCACTAAGTAGCAATAGCACTTGTTGAAATGAATGCTCAGTCTGCATCTGAGAGTAACAAGGCCACTTCTCTGGACTGTCTCCTTGAGAATTAAAGCTCCCCCCCTTAGGTGAACCAGATAACCACAGCTCCTTGGCAAGACATAACACATGGTGGAAGTTTTTAACTCAACAGAAAGCTGCATGGCAGGGATAAAGATCTTGTGGAGGTGCAAAAAAAGCTTTGGTAGGTAAGAAGCAGGTTGAAAATGAGATATCAGTGTAAATGGGGAAGGGCTCGAGTGAGTTCTTAAGTGTGGAAAGATGACATGCTACAGAGGGTATTCCAGCATGATGATGATTCACATTAGTAGTTGTTGGTGTGAGTTTACAAATTCGATGGCCAATTTTTCAGCTCAAATCCCACTGCCATTGTCCTCTGTAGGAAGAATTGTGGGGTTTTTAGTTTGGTTTCATCTCCCTTAACTCCTCTAGTCCCTGGCATTTGTTCCTCACACTGCTTGGATGTTCATGACCTTTCATCTTTCTCCCAGTTATCAGGTGCAGGATGTCAGTACAAGCATCTCAGTGTTCATAAGACACTGCTCTAAGTAGAGCACCAGAGAAAACAATGTAAGGCCAATGTAGTGAGCTCAGAAGAGAGGTAGCTACAGAATCAGCACTGAGTCACCTAACTGCTCGAGGTGGAGGCCTGTTTTCAGTGAAAGCTGAAATGAGTCCCTAATTCCCCTTTTAAAGATAAGGAGCCCTCCCAGTTCGTTTTACATCTAATTTTTAGTGTACAAGCATCCTGTGTATAAGCAAAAGACTTTGGACTGCAATTGGGCAAAAGGTATAAACTTAACAATGTCATCATCACCCCAGCTAATTAAAGAGTTCTATTAAGAATTAATAGGTCTGGGAGTCAAGAGACCCTGGTAAAGAAGCAAGTCACTGTAAGAAGTCACTTTTTCAATTTGCTATTTAAATAACTCCTTGGAGTCTCCTAAACTGCACAACCCCAAAATCACAAGAATTCCAGTGCTGAACAGGAAGAAGACACTTACCCAGCAACCTGCTGTCTCCTTTCTGCTGATCTGACCTACTGCTAGCACATAAAACTAGTTTTGGAACTATAATCCCTTCACCAGACAGGAGTGCTAGAACTCCACAAACAGTCCATGCTTTCTAAAAGCAAATCATTTCTCTCTCACTAACCCTTCAATTCCTGGGAACAATGCAGTGGCAGGAAAAGGCCTGATTCTTAGTACCTTCTTTTGCCAAGTGTTGATCCTGCTCAGGTAGCAGAAGCAGAGCTACTTTCTCCTAATAACAGCTGCAGGTACAACACCTAGGGGCTCTGAAACACACAAAGCTGTGCATAGCGTGCTAGGTAAGTGTGCTGACTTGATTGAAAGGCACAGAGTAAATCTTCAACCTCAGCAGCAAGAAGTTCAAAGTACATCTCATCCTATTGTACTGCTGCAGGGATAACACTGAAGGAGGAGACTGGAAGTTTTGTTGTGTTCCTGCCTCTACATAGGCTGCAGGAGGACAAAGGATGCTTAGTAACAGTGCTGGAAAGGAATACAGCACGGCTTGACCTACCGGTAAAGGTACTCCTTTTGTACTCCTCTTTTTTAACCCATATGTTTCAGGAAGCTTCTTAGCATGTGGCAAGCCATTGGAGTAAGTTACAAACTACAGCATTTCCCTTAGTTTTTAAACAATTTGGCAAATTTTTACTTAGAAAACAGCAGCTATAGTGTGAATGGCAACACTGCTTTCTGACTGGTTACCAAAGCTAGGCATAGATCTATTTCATCATGAAAAAGCTGCTGGTGACAGCTTCTCTTAGTAGTTAGAAGCTATTCTAGTTCTTTAGGAATAGAGAATAGGACCACCTGAAAAATTCAGCAAAATGAACTTGTTTCTGGCTTTCATTAAATGCAAAGTCAGCTTTTTAGTACCACTGTTGAGATCAAACAACTATGTTATCTATGGAAGAAAGCTTGTAATATTAAGGATGATCAGCTTTTGATCCTTAACTATAACCTTCTGCTCTAGACTTCAAAATGCAGCAGGAAACCAGAGAACTCTGCCTTTTCAATGGCGATAAGAACATGGCCAGAACATCCATCCCTTAAAACTAAGTCTTCATCAGTTTTACTCTGGCTCTAAAAGGAGCATGCAACAACTTGTTTTCAGTTACTGTTTTGTTTTCTAAATGTTTCCTTATGTAGGCATAGCCTGGTGCTTTCTTAGAAGATGTAGTACTAAAGAACAAAGAAAAGAACATTTCTTCATGTGTTTAGTTGAAAAACAGATCACAGTTTATTGGAAACTACACTTTTTAACATCAATATTAAAACAAGGATTTTCTAGCCCCTTTAAAAGCTAACGAAACAATCTTTTTCTCTATTCAGTGTAACGCTTCTTTCCATCCTCGCTGAAGAAAGACTTCATGGTAGCAAAAAGTTCTCCTCCAGAAGAAAACTGCTTAAGCACTGCTCCCTCAAAGCAAAAGGTATCTTCAGTAACAGTCAGCTTCATTTTCCTCTATGGTCCCCACAGTAGCAAGGATGTCCTGTAAGAGAGACTGAGGGCTTTTCTCTATGTGGTCACTACTTTTATTTAGCTCATCACGTAGCTCTTCTAAGTCTATCGTACCCAAAGCTATCATCATGCTCTCTGGATCTTGGAAATCCACTCCATTACCACCATCCGTGGGGAAGTTTTTGGCCAGAGAACCCTGCCTTAGTGTCCTTTGTAACCAGGCAATGCTATGTCCTACAGGTGAATCTTCAGTCACTCGTGAATCCCTTGGGGTAAAAGTTGGATAGAAATTAATCCTTAGGTTAAGCAGTAAATCACAGGCTCTCTGACCTACTGGTTGGTCACAGTCACACAAAGACCGAAACAAAAAGCTAAACAGGTTTGCTCGGCAAAGTATCTGCAGCACCTCATTCTGATGAATGGAACTCGTGACTGCAGATGAGACAGGAGCATATGGGCATTTAGGAAGGCCAAAATGGCAAAAAGCATGATGACAGAAAATGTCAACCAGTTCCAAACCACCAAGTCTGACTTCCCAGTCTAAGTCATGCTCCACTGTTTGGATCACTCTGGAGACAAACTGCTCTGTATCTTCCAGCTGACCTGTGCAGCCTTGTCTCACCCACTCGATGAAGATGCTGATGACAGCCCTCCTAGGAAAGCCCTCTGGGTCTCTTGACAGGATTTCTTGAAGCTTTCCTATGGTGCTCTAAATGTAGAAAGACAAAGAGAAAGCACAATGAAGAGAGGAACATGCAAAGAAACAGTGAGGTCTTCCTGCATGAGACAAGATTACTGTTGTACTGCTTTCTCTTCACAGGTTAGCTGATGTGTAGTTCTGCTCAGTTCTGCAGTGGACTAAACAAATTCATCATACCTCTTTATTACACTGATTCTTTACAACAGGTGACTCAGGAGCAAAATAAGTAATGAAGGCCAAGTGTCCCACAGCAGTCACAGCACTTGCTCGCACATAGCTTTCTGGATCCTCCAGAAGATTTTCTGTAAGCCTTGGCACCTCTGAAGACAGGAGAGACTGCCTGAACTCATCCTGGTCTGTAAATAAGACAGCAATCCAAAGAAGCAAAGCTTTATTCTCTCAAAGCATGTAACTGTTTCCAATGCAAACAGTTCTTTGCGTCATACAAGGATGCCCACTGACTGCAGGGACAGCTGCCAGTGAGCTGAGCCACTGCAGAGACCAGGCAGCTGCTCACAAGAGCACAGATGCTCTGTGTCAGGCTCCCTATTTTCCAGCAGCTTGATGACTTTGAGTCAAGCCCTGATAGACACTGGAGCTTGGAAAAATCAATTTACAGTTGTTCTACTGGCAAGAAAAACCTTTCTCCACACAAGTGGGGACATGTTTTCAGCCTCATCAAACGTGTGCCTTTCCTTAAAGGTGGGAAAAATAGTCTTCCTTTCTTGTTCTCAAGGCATATGGCAGAGAAAAATAATGTAACTGCAGCACTGAAAGTGGCTGCAGGGTAAACTCTTAAAGCAGCTGAATGTGCTGGATACTTCCTTTGTGCCCTAGGGACAACAGTAGTTGACAACATCCCACTCTTTCCCAGTGTCAGAGCTACTGTAAGAGAATGAGTGCTACCTGCTGCAAAGCCTGAGCTACCAGTGAAGTGGAAACATCGATAATTAATCTAAAGCATGCAAAGCAGATCGAGGCCTTTAGCATCCTAAAGCCCAGACCCCAGCCTGCTGAGTGAAACTGAGCAGACTCTACTGCAGAGCAAACAGGAAAAATGGGAGTTTTATCAGCCATTAAGGATCGTTGCCTGCCTCGACAGACACATATGACTGTCTTAACACCCCTCAGTTTAACTGACCAAAAGAAGGGCACAGCCATTTGAATTCAGCAGAACAGCAGGAAGAGGTTATTAATCTTTTTGTCAGATATTGATCATGATCAAAGAGTAAAACTCTTGACACTTTTTCTTTTCTTAAGTCCTCTAGATACATCTCAGAGGATGCTTCATCATCCTGGCTGACTTTCATAACATTAAAATAAACACTCCTTCAATCTGAAGCATTAAATCTCTACACTTACCTGTCAAGCATTTAATCAGGACAGTGAGGAACTCCAGAGAAGAATCTCTTACTTCCCAGCAAGGACTGCACAAACGCTTCTGCAGCACCAGAAACACATCTGTAAAAGCCAAGTGACAAGCTTGAATGGACATGAAAGACAAGCTTTGCTGAAGCAGTTGCTGTACAACCTCTCTACCATTTAATTTTATGCAATCCCTTCTGTTGCTGCTCTGTGCTTCTCCCAGAGTTCTTCAAAGCACTACTTGGGCAGCTGAACCTAAAATCAGCATAATTGCAAACAAATGAATCTTAGTGCTTTAGGTAGGAAAGGTAAGCAAGAGCAGATTTCACATATGCCACTAGCTGCTGTTTATCCCAACTTGAATAGCTTTCTTACCTTCCAAAATCTTCTCAGCTTGTTGCCACTGACTGTTAGAGCAGGACACTTCCTGTAAGCGTACCAACCACTTGGATGTAGCTTGAAATGTTGTCTTTAGAACCTGACGCAATATAAAGCAGATTTACTTCATTATGGGAGGCAATGTTGCCTTTAGGCAAGATAAAATCTGGTTTAGCCTCAATCTTAAAGTGAAATTCTTGGCATAAACAAGTACATACACTTTTTTATTAAGAAGCCACAAATAAATGGTGCTTCTATAGCATTTCTAACAAACTCCTAGAAAGTGAATGTTCTCAGCTTAATGTTCTGAAGTTCTGGCAACTCCACTGTTCTGCAGTTGTTGTCAGTCGTTTGAACAAAACAAAGCAAGAAAGCAAAACACCTTAATGCAAAGAATTCAGTGCTTAAGGAACATGTCAAATTCGAGTACGTTGGCACTACATTTAGACATGATGGCTTCCATCTGTTCAAGAACACTCAGTGTATTGGTCAGTTACTTGCTCATTAGAATTTTAGCTATTTCCTGCAAGCCATGTAGAACCAAAACAAGTCTCATACTTATTCTAATACAAACTGTGCTAAGAAACAACTACTGTCAAGACAGCTTCTCAGAACTACATCCCACTGGGGCAAGCTAATAGACTTGGATCTTTCCATAGTTCTACACTCACAGTAGGACTGGTGTTCGGACTCTCCAGGTATGCCAGAAGGACATCAAATACACTTCCTATGAGTGTGTCACAGCCTGAAACATACACAACAAAACTAAAGGACCAATACCAAGAGAAGGAGCAGCTGAAATGCAATCCAGCTGCTGAAATACAGAAAGACACAGGATTATAAAACTGTTTTGGAGAAGAAAGCAAGTACAGTTCTCGGACAAGAGGAGAAACATCCAATTTTTCACAAACACTAAAACCTTCTTAATGACAGCATTACCTGCCCTAGCTCATGAACAAAAAGGTTCAGCCAAAACAGTAGGAAGAACTGGAAAAAAACAAGTTTCAGAGGTGGAAGTGGTCATTCCTGTCAGCATTCAAGGCCAGGTTAGATGGAGTCTTGGGTGATACAGTTTAGCGTGTGGTGTCCCTGCCCATAGCAGGGGGTTGGAACTAGATAACCTTCAGGTCCTTTCCAATGCTTACTATTCTATGATCTTTATTCAGAAAGATCAGTGAAAGACAATGAAAAATTCTGCAACTACAGAATAGTTAAGTATTACCCAATTTTTTTCTGCAAAAATAGATAAAATTATATTTAAAATGCAATCATCAACTCACCTTTTTGCTCTGAGAGTGCTGCTAGGACATCAAGAGCTGACCTCTGTACTCTGAAGCTATTGATCAAGATTCGGCTTACTGTGCTTCCCAGAGTAGATGCTGGACTCAGGAAGCCATTACAGAATTGTAGTATTGTCATGAGTGAGCGTAGTAAAGGTGTAGAGGGTAAATCCATGGGCAAATCAACCTAACAGGATGGGAGAAAGGAAAAGAGGTTTCCAGCAAAA